TTAGTAGTTGTTGAGAATTATTATAATTATTTTAAAGGCACATTGTGCTGGTATATTAAGAGTAACAATTACAAAAAAAACAACAACTACGTTTTCGTAATTGTTACTCTTAAGAAAATTATTATAACTGTCAAGATGGGGCTTTTTTGGGGCATATTGACAGAAAAGTTCCCTCCCACCCGCCTTCTTGTGCACGTCAGTGTAGAAGAGTAACTATAATAGAAGAAAATGGGTCCTTCTCGATGGGGAAGTTTCCAAGAAAAAATTTCTATTTAAATTTTTGTTAAACTTGATAAAGGAGATCGAGAATTAATGCTCAGCCGTCATCCCTCCCATAAAGTTTTATTCGGTAGCTTAAGTAAGTTAAGTTTGAAAAAAAAAGTCGATGATCTTTAGCTTAACAACTAATAACCGGAAAGTTGTCTCCGGATAATGTTGCGCACCTTGAGTTGTCAGAGGATGTTTTAATAATATGGTTGTCTGCAGTTTTACTCATGAACCGAACCAATTCTTAAAATCTGACTCGCAACCTGCAGGTCACGGGTTCGAATCCCTGTCACCGAACATGTTCGCCCTTTCAACTGTGGAGGCGTTATAATGTGACGACCACTATTCGTTGGAAAAGAGTAGCCCATTTTTGACGGTGGTTGGTGTTGACTGGCTGCCTTCCCTCTAGTCTTACACTGCTAAATTAGGGACGGCTAACACAGATAGCCCTCGTGTAGCTTTGCGCGAAAATTCAAAACAAACAAACAACCCAATGAAAATAAGTTGGCAATGCCACAGCGGATTCCTAATGTACTTCTGTTCTCACAGTAAATGAATATAAAATAAAGGCTAAAAAATAAAATAATTGTATCTCATATTAAAATTATTACTTTTCGTAATTTCGTGGATAGTTTTAGGTAAATAAGAGATGCAATTTCAGGCGTTACATAACTGTATTTGTTGTTTGTTTGTTTTTGAATTTCGCGCAAAGCTACACGAGGACTATCTGCGCTAGCCGTCCCTAATTTAGCAGTGATAGACTAGAGGGAGGCAGCTAGTCATCACCACCCTCCGCCAACTCTTTTACCAACGAATAGTGGGATTGACCATCACATTATAACACCCCCATGGCTGAAAGGGCGAGCATGTTTGGTGGGACGGGGATTCGAACCCGCAACCCTCAAATCGCGAGTCAAGCGCCCTAACCACTTGGCCATGCCGGGCTAAAAGTTTAGTCACGAGGAATATGTTATTTTTTAGGGACTCTTTAACTTAACCAAAACCAAAACAGCAACACAAAAACCATTGTTCAGTATTTTTACGCTTGTTTATTTGTTGTGAAGCAAAAAGCTACTCAAATGGCTATTTGTGCTGTGCCCATTGACGCTTGTATATATATTTTTTAAGATTTTTTTACACCACTTTCGTGATTTAGTAGGCAGTTTAAACCAGTTTTAAAGCGCAAGACAAAACTAGACGTTGGTCACATGTTTCTGTGATCTAAAATACATTTCACAACTTCGGAGTTGGCACTACACGAGTATTAGCGTAATGATAACTGAATGTTGTAATGAGTAGAGATTTCATCTGCCAACACTTCTCTTAGACGCCTTACATTCACTAGCAGTTAGTAGGTTTAATATATACTATTATTTGTTGATAACCCTAAATTAAAACGAGTTACACTATTATATACGAGGTTTGCATGACTATTTCCCCAAGGCTAACTAAATTGTCATATCAAGTTGATACAAGTTTTTAACATGAAAATCCTCATCAGATGAAGCGTATCAGTAGAAATATCCACTAACTATTAATATCAGGAACTATATTAAAAAGATAAAAAAATAATTCGATCAATGTGATTTTTTTGTCATGTTTGTAACAACAGTGTATCTAACTGTGTATAATTCATGCTAACTCAACTGTTAGGGACACATAGAAGTTCTTCTCCCCTTTTCTTTTGTCCCCAGGTGGCTCAGTGGTAAGCTTGAGGGCTAGTAACGCAAAAACCGGGAATCAATTCCCCGCGGTGAACACAGCGAAGATAGCATTGTGCAGCTTTAAGCTTGGCCACAATTAACAAGTTTCCGTGTTTTAATTTAATGCTCAAACCTTTCATTTATTTTCTTTTGACAAGTTTGAGCGCATTGAACCAATGGAATGTGCGTAATTAGTGTTAATGTATATATTTTTGACAATATGCAAAACCTGCATGCTCCTTCATCTTTCAGCTCACGTCCACTTACTAAGCATTATCCTTTGTATATTATAGACAGCTGAATTAGGACGATCAGAAACAGTAAATAGCACGTGTTCTTAAACGAAAACACTCCACATTCTGGCATATTATTTATCCCATTTTTCCATGTCGCTGATTTATGAAAATAATTGATTACACCTGTTAGGTTTCTTATAATTCAACACACTTTTCCATCCGTTACTCAGACTCTGCGCAATAATTCAGGAATATTCTTATCTACTTCATGTTACTAATTTGGGTGATTAATTACCTTTTCAATTCAAGACATATTAAACCCCATAATTCAGACCATGCCCACCAATTCAGGACTGTCCCACGTTCCTTAAATCAGGGTAATCTTCTGTCCCTCTCGACTTCGTAGGTCAAGGTAAACGAATATAACATAGTATTAAAATATGACGCAATAACGTGAAATAGTTAGCAGATGTGAATTGTGAGGAACAGTAAGTACATAACTACTAATGATTTTGTTTATATTATCCGCTCTATGTGCTTGAATACTCGTGATATTATTTTGTAATCCACCATATTACTTTGACGTGTTAACTTTTTTTATTATGATATAATTATTTTTGATAAGCCGGTATTAATCCCCTAGCGGAAGATGTAAAATTTTGATTACAGTACAGAACGTTTGTGACCACGTAGCAGTCCCTCAATAGGACAGCGGTACGTTTACGGATTTACAAAACCAAAATCCGGAGTTCGATTCCCCCCATGGTGGATACAGCAGATAGCCCAAAGTGGCTTTGCTCTAAAAAAAACAACAACAAACAAAACCATTTAGCATCAGATATCCATCACGTATGTAAAATATGAGTTTTTACAGTTATAAACAAATAAAAATGAATACAAAGCCTTGCTGTGTTCTCTCTGCTCCGTTTGTAATTTTATAACTGGCATTTTACTATAAATTGCAAATTATAATATTAATTGGACGTTTTGTGTGAACTAAAACGCCTGAATTTTTTATAAAGTCATCACGTACTATTCCAGTAACACACTGCTACGATACTCTAACAAAATTGTGTGGAAATTAGTGAGAACATTGTTTATACGACGTTAGAATACCGATACCGAGTTTCAAGTGCATAGAATGTTATACGGTTTAAGCTCTACATTAACTTACCAAAATATCATGCATTTTTCATCATAAAATGTTTTGTACAATGTGTTACACGAAGTCAGAACTCTAGATGAAGAAGCTATTTTAAGTATGGTAAATACACAAGGTAAAACACGTGGGTTCACAAGGAATTATCAGGCAAAGATCCAAGATATGTGCGTCATACCCCCCCCCCCCTTCCATCATGAAAGTTACTTAGTATGTATTGTTTTTCTTTAGCAAGTGAAACAAATAAGTTCTAGGGGGGGGGGAGGCACGTATAAAGAACTATTTTAAAATGTTACTGTTCAGTTGTCGTTATTTACTAATTATCACGTAAAATGTGCTAAGCAAATGTATGTCAGTGCCTCGATTTTGGATCTATTGTATTTGATTACATATTATTAGTTAAAAGTACTAGTATAATTGTAAATATATTTCAATCATAAAATATAACAAACCCCATAGGATTACGTCAACGCGAACTTTAACTGCTCTGATAACAGATCTGTTGACAATAACTGGTGAAACAGTAAAAACTGGTTCAAACAGATTATTGAAAATTTCTACGATGGTGAAAAACAAAACAAAAACAAACCGTTTTATGCTTGAAAATTACTACTTTCATTTTAGGGTTGAACGTAGTATATAAGCACAAATATGGGTAATACTGAATATAACAAATCTGATGAAGGATTCAGAGTATGATGGCTTTCTAGTTATACTACGTATTTGTTGTTTGGAAAAAATCATGGCGCATAGTTCCACTTTCAAAAGCAGGCTTTATTAGGTACAAAGTAGTAATAGTAAAGAATACACGACCACACTATAATGTTATCCCTACAAGTAAAACAGTGAATCTGGATTACGTACCATCGAACGTTGTCTCAATATTAATACTACATGTACCTTATTTTTATTAACTGTTACGGTAAACACATCAAGATCATGTTTTATTACTGATCAAGTTAAGCTAAAATAAATATTGTACAATAAACACACGTCACAATACTCTGTCGACTTAACTTATAATTCATTTTCTCGTATGAACTCTGTGTTAACCAAGTAACGCACACATCTGTGATGGCGTTACGTTCCAGAACTGTCTGTTTCCCAGCAATGATTTGCATAAAATACACCACATTCGGCTTAGAATAAGCTGCTTTGAAACTGCAACAATTCTATAGTAAACCCATAATTTAGTCTTAACACTAATGGCTCAATCTCCCTTTTTTTCTATCGTTAATGAAACAAACTCAAAACGTTACTCAGACAAAAACATATTTTTTGTCTATTTTACATTCATATCTACGACACACATTTGGAGCAGGTAAAATTATCTCTGTCGGAGACTTTGGACCAAAATACCATTATTTACACCTTGTGGCTTCAGGAAATGTATATATTTATACAGTCTAATAGAGGAGGGAGGGGAGGATACGTCAGCTTAGCCTCCTTCTCTCTAAACCCACTCATTACTTTTAAAATTACCTTTTTTTATCTACAAACTATAGACATGTTCTGGTTCATTTTATAAGAAACGCCAAAAAAAAAGTTCAGTTATAAAAAAATAAAAAGCAGCAGCGCTCGAGATTCTAGAACACGAGATCCGTTGACTTCATGATCACAAACCGATTGATGAAGGTGTCGCCTGTTGACGTGACGTGTTGAACATTACTAAAAATAGAAAAGAAAAAAAATTAAATAGTCGTTAGTTGTGAAGGTTACAATATTAATTAGTCTTGTGAAGGTTACTAAAATCAGAAAAATATTAGATAGTTGTTGATGCGCAAAATGAAGAGTTAACTCACGACAGGCCTACTTCGCCATCGTTAATGTTTCGCATAGTTCCTGTTCGTTCATAATGAAGCCTTTCAATAAAATGTCTTCAAATCTAAACTGTATTTCTTTGTTATGTGATAATTACCGAACTTTGCAACCTATCGAAATATCAAGAAACACGAACAAACCAAATTAGGCCTTCAAATATATTTGTTAATATTACTTAAAGAGTTCCTCCGTCATCACAAGTTATCGACTAGTGTTATAGTCGTGAGAGCTACATACAATTAACCAATCAACACGTCTTCTGTATATTTAATTTCCTCTGTTGTTTGTTAATTCGGCCCAAAGAACACAATGAAAAAGTTTAATTACTCCTGAACAAAAAATTACTTAGTCTTGGAAATTATTAATGAAAATATAATAATAGAAATGATACCCGACTGGGCTCGAATCCCTTACTTCATCTCGGATGCCTAAATAATCAGTTTTTTTACTTTGCAGAATTGTAAGGACAGACTTTGGCAAAATTCTTAATTCAACACCTCCAATGAAAAAAAAAAATTGTAGTCACATATTCCGAGCTTTACAGACAAATTGATATAGTTTGTTTGTTATGGATTTCGCGCAAAGCTACACGAGAGCTATTTGCGCTAGCCGTCCCTAATTTTGCTGTGTAAGACTAGAGGGAAGGCAGCTAGTCATCACCACCCACTGCCAACTCTTGAGCTACTCTTTTACCAACGAATAGTGGGATTGACCGTCACATTATAACGCCCTCACGGTTGAAAGGGCGAGCATGTTTAGTTTGACGGGGATCCGAACCCGCGACCCTCAGATTACGAGTCGAGCGCCCTAACCACCCAGCCATGTTCAAATTTGCTGAAACGTTGTGAAAAACAAATGCTTCCTGTGTGTTAATTAAGTTTTACTGATTTGTGCTTGCAGTAATCTCACTAGGTGGGCTTAATTTAGTTGTTTGAGTGCCAAACTATGAATTTCAGGGTCCATACTTTGCGTCTCGTTGCCGTAAGATCGCGCTCCGTACTTTGGGGTGGTGGGTACGTTACAAAAATGATGGCCAAATTCCACTTTTTTATATAGAGTAGCACGAGACTATCATCTAGTCTATCAGTTCAAAATTAGGAACAGCTAGGCCCTTGTATAGGTTTGGATAAGTATCCGAAACAAACAAACAAAAATCAATTTTATTATCTTATGCACCTTTTCCATGTCGTAATACAGTTGACAGTTTGAGAGGCAATAAACATATCATGTATAGCCAATGTTTTCAGTCTGTGGTCCGAGGACCCGTAAAATAACGTCGGCGAGCATTCTAAATGGAATCCGCGACAGTAAAGTTCGAATTTAGATATTTATAGTTTAAAACCGAAACCAAAAATACATCGGGTGGTTTCCCGTTCATAAAATGAGATTCCTTAGATGACCAAAACACAACGCACACCTAAGCTAAAAGAAGTTTACATTATTATTAATGTAAATGCTGCATTTTTTACAATGTAGGATCAAACCTGTTGAACTTGTCTTTGGTTCGAGAAAGGGTTTATGCAGAAACGAATGGATGAGAAACTCTGATGCAGAGGAATATCATTCATTTACATAATGAAAGGATTAACTTCTACTTGTGAGGTTACAGTCTCAGGGATGAGCTTCCCAGGGAAGTTCTATCAACGTTTGCACCCTAAAGTAGTTTGGAAGCTGAAAAGTATACCAATTATTTAGACAGTAGATCTGCTTCCTGTAGTTTGTAGGTAATTACTATTGATTGTTGTTTCTTGAATTTAGCGGAAAGCTACGCGAGAACTATCTTCGTTATCCATCCCTAATTTTGAAGTGGTAGACTACAGGGAAGCAGGTAGTAAACATTACCCCTCCCCGCAAACTCGTGGGCTACGCTAATCGAAGATCGGGATCGGAGATTTTGGGGAGAAGGGTTCTCCCACCCTAAGGATGTTCAGGGATTGAGGTCCCTCTTCATCTGCCCTAAAGGTTTATTTGAAGGGAGCGTGGTAAGGATTTAAGAACACTTGAAGTGTAGGAGTAGGGAAGGCTAGGATCAATTGTAAGAGGATAGAGTTCGTGGTAGTAGGCTGAATAAAAACAATAATATACAAAGGGGTACTATGAACAAAGCCGAGATGGAGCGGAGAGCAAGGTGTGAGAGATAGGGAGCAGAAGAGAGTTGAGGGCTGACTTTAGTTGATCTCAGAAGTAATTTATCATGTGGTATGGGGCTCTTTTCAAGGCCTTCTTTAGCTATGGTGTTAACTTCTTGGTGAATTGAGTTTTCTTAATTGTAGTTGGTCTTCTTCTGTGTTTATGGAACTTGATGATGTTCACTCTCCAGGCCGTGGGTAATACCCTTCGTAGGCGATATTCCTGTATGCAACAGTCTCTTAGGGTTTTAAGCTACCCTAAGGAATACCGCTTCAGACTAAGTATTTTCCCGGGTATAAAAAAAGCTACTGAGCCTAGACTGCGTTTATCAAGTTTCACATAACATAGGTTTCACATAAAATCAATCCATGCTCCATAATCCTAGTTTTTAATATGTCTTTATGTCTTGGTAGACCATGCTTTTTACAAACAGATAGTCTGCTGTTTCTGTTTTTAGTCTTTATATCTAGGGCAATATTGAGTGAAATCAGTCTGTCCTGTTGTGCCTGAAGGCAACCTATCCTGTCATGACTTGTTACTATTCCCACTTGCGATCTTTGCTTATCCGGTTTTGTTGGATCCCTGGCCATGTTGCAATCGAAGGGAATCATCTGTCTTACAATGGAGCCACATCAGCCTCTTCCTTCGCTTTCCATTCCACACACAGATTTTAAACCTGCTGTTCTTGGGGCTTCATGCCAATTGGTAGCAGTTTTGGATGGAACAGTGGACTAATAATTTTACAGATCAGGATTGTTGTTGAACAATGGCTATGTAGTTTGCACATAGTTTATGAAGAGGATCACATCTGGCCATTGTTTTCTAACTCTTTTATTTATAATTGACCTATCAATTTACGAGTAATGTGACACTCAGATGATTGTCGTCTATATTTTACTTTCCTATAGCTATTTTGATATTTAGCGGTAGTGTTATCTTAAAAGTTTTTATATGCATCTTTTGTGCCATTTGAAATGTTTTTTTTTGTTTTTTACTTCTTTAAATGCCATTTGATTTTATACTGTAATTTAAATTTGTACCGCTTATATTTGCCATTTTCTCTTACTGATTTTTATACTTTTTGTATATGTACTGTTTTTTTTTTCTACTTAACATTTCAAATTTGTAGAGAGATTTTGTCTATCTCGATTAACACGAATAGTCCTTGTAGCCTTGTGCCAAAACTCCCTAAACAAACAAACATAACACAGCTTAAGCATAAGAATCAATAAGTGTGGGAGGTTAAGAAAATATAGAATGTGTAAATCAAACACGATTTAATATGGAGGGTATTATACCAAGGATAAAAAAAAAGAGAGAATCCTTGGTGGCAGAAACGGTCATGTCACTCAGTGATAGCTAGAAGTGAACACCAAAGTTTATAGGTAATGCATATGTATACAAATGCTAATTCAGTGCGATGTCGCCACAGGCAATAGGTTCAGCCCCTATATTCTTGGTTCACGGCGAATTTCTAATCAATAAGCAGTACCAATCCCACCAAGAGTACACGTTGGATTAAAGAAATATGACATGCCTTTCAGAAGAGAAGGATTCATACAGCTGGATTTTTAAACAGTGTGGTTCTAAAGACACATTTCAAAGAAAAGTATTTTCAATATCCTCAGTGGAAGGGAAAACTGGTACGCTACAGCGTTAGGGACAGCGGCACGCTAACCCATCGTTTCTCAAAACGATATTTGAAAACAAGATTTGGAGTGTAATGAAAAACTAAAACAGCCAAATTTACATGCATAATATGTAAACTAAACAATTAAATATTCTAAAGTGAACTGTAGTGAAGATAATACACAATACGTAAATACAAATTAAACAGTAATATGAATTCAGAGCTCGAGAGATAACGACTAGTGGTGATTTTCCAAAATACGAATTAGAAATTGGAAGGATTTAGGTTTCATTTTGCAACTAGGAGTTGAAGACCTGAAAATCCTGTTTTCAAAAAACCTTGAATTCTGATTGGTAAATTCGTATCTTATTTTAGTTCGGTGTTATGTAACTGTGGACCGGAGGAGGGAAAATGGGGCCTGGACCTCAATAATTTTCCAATAGTAAAAAAATGTTTTTCAGGAACAGAGAGAGAGAAAGCAAAAGGTCAATCGCGTGGTGCCGCTTGGGTTGTATATATATATATATATATATATAATTACGCTCGCCGGCCACAAGCTTGTGTGGATATGTTGTGGCTCCAGGGCGTGTCGCACCCAGACACTGTTACCTCCACCCAACTTTAAGCATTTTCCTACTCCACTCTTTTACGTATACAGCTGTTGTTTTTTGTGTGCATAAGTATTTTCTCGTGTTCAGATTAAAGAGGAACTCCGACATTAACACAAAAGCAACCAGAAACGTTAAATGAATGTTAAAATATCGATACATGGAGTCTAAAAATTATATAATTAAATATTTGTTAATAAACTAGCGTTTCTGGAGGCCACCATTTTCTCTTCATCTTCCCACGTGTCTATTTCCTGTGACGTAAAAACGTAGAGAAAGATACGTACATGTGATTGGCGTAATGAAACGCCACTTTACAATGTGTTGCAGAATTCTAGAAGTGGTCCAAATGTTCAGAAATCTTAATTGGATAACTATGAAAAAAATTTAGAAATTATACACGATTCTTCGGACCATCTTCCATGTTGAACATTCGTAATAATAACAGTTTATTACAAACCTGCAAATCAGGTAACCACACCTGTATCAAACAATTAACATGTAAAACGCTTTCGATTTGACAATAAAACCAAATTACATAAATGCAATTTATTCATACATTACAATTCTCTACAATTACTTTTCCTTGTGTGGCTGGTTTATATTATACAAGCGATTTAGTGCCTGTACTGCTTAGCTTACCTCTGCTAGTCACACTCACACCCCTCTTGTCACAAAATACTTACAGTATTTTGTGACAAGAGGGGTGTGAGGGTGACTAGTTGAGGTAAGTTACGGTACAGTATTTTGTGACAAGAAGGGTGTGAGTGTGACTGGCTGAGGTAAGTTACAGTACCCTGTAACTTACCTCAGCCAGTCACACTCACACCCCCTCTTGTCACAAAATACTGTACCGTAACATATCTCAGCTAGTCACACCCCTCTTGTCACTAAATACCGTACTGTAACTTACCTCAGCTAGTCACACCTCTCTTGTCACTAAATACCGTACTGTAACTTACCTCAG